GTCTAGAGGCCAATTAATTAAGAAACATTGGACCTTAATTATTTGGATAGATCAGATTCCCCAAACAGTACTAATCAGTGATTCAATTAATTAAGACATTGCACGTTGTCTTAAAAAAAATCTCTAATTGGTTTTTAAACTAAGATTCTAGCTTCAAAATGTCTATAACCCCTCTAAAAACCTAAGCATAAATTGTTTTATGTGTAAATTACTTTTGTGGGAGTAAGGGAACATACAAAGAAATACACATATTTAATATACAAAGAAATACACATATTTAATATGTACATTTTGAAGGGGTCTGTGATTAAGTAAGAGTGTAAGAGCTTCCTTAATTGGCATGTGACATTTCCTTACTTGGGATGTGAAAATACTTTCTAACTATATCTGGCTTTTAAAATGTGCAGTGATTGTTGACCAAGTTTCTTAACTTCCTCCTTTAATTGTACAAATACTTCTTAAAGCTTTCATTACAGAGATACTAATTTACAGCGTATGACACACAATTCTCAAAAGTTTATGATAGGATAATTATTATAATCATTATTTCAACTTGGGATGTGTCAGACTATTTCTGCTAAATGGTCTAAAAGTTGTTTAGCTATAGCTTTTGATGATGAGATTCTTGTCAACAATTTTTCTTTAATTTTAAAAATTAAAAACTTGTATATTTGCAAATATCCAAACTTGCCAAAGGTACATATTAAATATGTGTATTTCTTTGTATATCAATTATACCTCAATAAAACTGTATTTTTTAAAAAAGAAACCCAGATAGAGAAAACAAAGTTATGATTGGGAATAAATCTAATAATTAAATATAGGGCTTTAATGCTATAAATTATACAATCAGATCCATGAGCTCTGTATTAAAATACATCCAACAATTTGGGTGCTGAAAAGTATTGAAAATATTTCAAAAATAAAATGCAAAAACAGGGTTCCTTAAATGATGGATGCCAATGCTTAACAGGTGGAATCCCAGCCACACTCTTTGGACTGGTAGCTAAATACTAAAGCTGAACTTCTCATGAGTTGGTTCTTACACTGTTATGTTTCCAGAATCTGTCTGGAGTGGAGAGAGTCTATAACTTTCAGATCACGTGCCATGATTGGCCCCAAATATTCAGTTTAAGTGAAATCAGCTTTTCTTCTTGGATCTGTAAAGAGGGTACAGAGGAAATTTATTTCACCATTCCCCTCTCTCTGGAATTGGGTTTTTCATACTTGGATGCATATCAGAAAAATTTTGCTGCTCAGTCCTCTTCCAGACCAATTAAGTCACAATTTTGGAGGCAGGTTCCAGGCACAGGTATTTTATAAAATGGCCTACGTGACTCTCAGCAAAAGTTGAGAACCACAACAGAAATAATTATTTTAGGATCAAATTAATATGAGGTTCTTTCTTTGTTTCAGAAAGTTTTAAAGGCGGCTGAAATATCATTGTTTGCTGGTATCACCACAATTTGGATCATGTACAGGTAACCATTTCTGTCTATCACAGCAGAATTATTCAAATTAAAAGAGGCTGCATTTCACTGAAACCTGGAACAGAGAAAGGCATTCATGGGAAAACTGTGACATTGGAATGAAGTCTACAGTTTAGTATTGATAATCAAATAATATAATATAGTAATATTAACATAGCTTGTAAAATATCAACACATTTGGGTGAAGGGTATGTGGAACTCTCTATACTATCTTTGCAATTTTTCCATAAGTCTAATTATTTCAAAATATAAAGATTAAATATTAAATTTAAAAAAGAGAAAGTGGAGTTAGTACTGATGCTACAACATTGTGGATTAACTAACAATAGTAAACATCTGTGGACATAAAGTCTTGCACTGTGTATGTGGACACTTTATTCATAAGCACAACTATGGGGCAAGAAATGCTTTGAGACACTTTCAATTTCCTGTCTGAATTTTTCTCTAAATGTCTTCTCTCCAGTTTCAACCAGATCCTACAAAATGTCATCAACAGCTGTTAATATTGAAGATTCATATATTCTACTCTAAGGAATTATAACGCTGGTGGTAATATCTTACACTTCTACAGCATTTTACAGCTTACAACACTTTCTGATTGTTAGTCTTGCTTGATTTGCATGAGAAAATAGCAATACATAGGATATAACCATGGGATGGACTAAAGAATGAAACCTCATCTGCATTTGATTATAAAATACACAGTGAGCCCCTGCAGAAGCCACACACACACTCACCCACACACACACACAATACATGTCCCAGTACATGTCCCAGTACAATGCACAATTTGAAAATATGGTTATTGAAAGATCTTAAGTTAGTGTCCAAACATATAACATATCCCTTCACCCTAGATTAAGTCACACCCACAGGCACAGCTTTCATTCTTTCCTTTCTTTCCTGGAAAAGGAAAAAAATTCAGATTATCAGAGGCCACTAGCCAACATCCCTTGGCCCCACATGTTGTCAGGCCATGACTATGCCCTGAGTCACAGCCATTCCCTTTGTTTCTGTCTCCTGTCCCTAATTTCCTGGGGACCCTGACACTTGCCATTTCCCCCATGAGTCAGCTCCACCTGCCAGTTCTGCTCTGCTGGCCTCTGGCCATTCCTACAATTGCTGAAGAAACCCTCCCATCCAGACTTGAATGAAAGGGTGGTGGTGACCACGCTTTCTCCGGATTGTGCCAGGAGATGGCTCATATCCTCTTCCTCACCGCCCCCCCACAGAGCCCTCCATCGGCCAATTTCACTCCGGGGTGGGGGCGCCTTCCTCCAGCCTGGCCTCACACACATTCACACACATGCTTTCCTGACCAACCCAGGGGACCAAGGCAGCCCAGACTATTTCTGATGCCAGAGTGGTCTGTGCTGCATGCCCCATTCTCCTTTCTGTGACTTGTTCCTGCTCTCACCCATCCAGGAGAAGAGTGGCTTTCTATCTGCAGCCACTCCTGCAGGTGCTGTTGAGCAGCGATGTGACACACTCAGCAGGCCTAGTTATCCCTCCTCACCACAGCACCACCTGCTCACTCTTAGATTCTTATTCAAAAGGGAGGTCTCACTGGGACTCATGTAGAGCTCATGGCATCTTTGAGGAGAGTAAGGGTACTTGGGAAATGTGAATGATGGAATATAATTAATCGAAACTTCTGGGTTCCTTTGAATTATTGACAAACGTTATGAATATCAATTTTGGTGGTTTATAGGAGAAAGGGTAGAAATGTCTGCACTTTTGAAAGTAGCTGTTCTCAATGTATATTTGTTTTAAAGCATTTTTTCCCACCACTCTGCTGGATCCTTCCCACCGCAGCCCTCCTTTCACAGGTGGGCTTTACCCACAGGCACGGCGATCCCTGTAGATCAGAGCCACCACTCCTGCCTTCCTCTGGCCCAGTTCCTGACAGGCTCAGGGCCAGGGCTGCCCCAGGTCCTCCCAGCTTTCTTGAGGAAGGTGCGACTGCTCCCGCTGTCTGTGCCCTGATCACCCCACCATCTGAATTGCTACTAATTCAGAAAGCAATTGGATCTTCCAGTTTGCCCAAGACAGTGCCAATTTACACCGCTTTTTATTTCCACGGTCTGGATTTGTGGGTCCCAGGCTCAGTGTATACAGGTGCAGATATACCTGATCCCCACCCCTACTCACCACTGTGGCTGCCTCCTACCCTTGCTTCTGAGGGTTGATAGCTCCCCATCTGGTCAATGGCTCATGGCCTTGCCTACACTGAACTGTCCAGCCACCAACCCAACCCTGACCTATTAGTATTTTAGAGTATCATCTCAGTAATTCTAAAGATTTGTAAGAGTGTGTGCATGTGTATGTGTGTGTGTGTGTGTGTGTGTGTGTGTGTGTGTGTGTGTGTATACATTCAGAGGAAAGAAAAGCATCACACATTTGTTTAGAACACATTCTTATCTAGCAGTCTGTGCAGGTTTTTACCATATTCTTTTGCTAACAGTATATTAAGAAGGAAATTGAGTCTGGCCTGTGTGGCTCAATAGTTGAGTGTCCAACCATGAACAAGGAGATCAAGGTTCAATTCCCAGTCAAGGCACATGCCTGGATTATAGACTCAATCCCCATACAGGGCATGCAGGAAGCAGCTGATGGATGTTTCTCTCTCATCATTAACGTTCTATGTCTCCTTCTCCCTCTCTCTTCATGAAATAAAAACACATTTTTTTAAAAAGGAGAAAATTGATATAATAGAATCAAGGGCATAGAAAGGGAGTGGACTGACAATTCTCGGGGGAACGGGGGAGTGGGAGGTATGGGAAGAGATTGAACAAAAAGCGTACACCTATGGATAAGAACAGTGGGAAGGAGAAGGGCAGAGGGTGGGATAGGAACCTGGAGGAGGGGAGCTATAGGGGAAAAAAGAGGAACAATTGTAATAATCGGAATAATAAAGGTTAAATTAAAAAAAAGAAGAAAATTGAAATTTTAGTAAAGATTTTCTTACTTGTGTTGTAAAACACCTCTTTATAGAGCCAAACTGAAAGGTCTTTAAAGCAAATGTATTTTTCATCAGATGAGTGATTGAATTTCTGATTTTTATTTTCTCTATTTCAGCTTAGACAGTGAAACTGCACAGATACTTTTCATTTTGAATTTATCATAAAATTCACTTCCTGTTATTGTTATTCCAACACTGGAGAGGAAAGTTGACTTTCCAGAAGTTTTCATTTAATTTTAATAGAAAACAAACACATACAAATCTATTTAAAACAACAAACAAACAAAAAAGCATTTCAGTTCTGAACACAATTTGCAATTTGATTATAGGAACTAGTTTACCTAATAATTTAGCAATATGAGCATCACCCTAATTATATCCTTTGGCCATTCCAGGAATGATCACAAGGCCTTTGAAATTCAAATGATGAACTTGGACTGACCCCTTACCACAGGACCCAAGTGGCCTGCAGCTGAGCTCATTCTGACAGTTGGGACAGTGTGATTTCCAGTTTCCCATCAAGTTCTGCGGGCTCATGGGGCACTTACGTCTCATCTGTGAAGGCTATTCCAAAGTATTCCTTTTCCTTCAGATTGAAGTGAGATGCCACGAGGTCAAGCAGCTCCTTGGCCAAAAGCTTGGGCTGGAGGGAAAACAAAATGGAAAAAGGGTAAGTGATGAGAGATACATTTCCTAAAACAGGCAATTTCCGATTTACATAATTTTTAAAAAATGCAAGGTCTCAAAGCCCCAATACATCGATGCAAATGATTCTTATTAAACCCAAAGTAGTGGACAATGAAGGCACCACTGAATACACAGCTAAATACAAATGGAGACCTTCTGCCTTGTTCCTAGTTTTTTCTACTACAAACAGCACTCACTCATGGACAGGCTATCAACCCTGGGGTTCTCTGTCCCCACAAAGAATGAGAGAATGTTTCAAGCTGATCAGGAAGATGCCTTACTTAAAAACATATATATATATATATATATATATATATATATATATATATATATAAATTATATGTTTAACATATATCATTGATATTTTTGTAATATATGTTTTAACATATATCCTACATAATAAAAGAGTAATATGCAAATTAACCATCACTCCACTACACCCACCAGCCACATCCACCAGCCACACCCACCAGCCAATCAGAGCAAGTATGCAAATTAACCCCAAACAAGATGGCTGCCACCACAGAGAGTAGGAGGGAGGCTTGGGTTTCCTCAGCAATGGAGGAAGCCAAGCTTTCCACACACCCTGGACAGCCCAGGCCTCCACTCAAGGATATAAAGTTTCAATTATATAAGATAAATCCCAAGAAAAATGGCATCACAACAGAGCTGGAGAGAGCAGACTAGGGTTGCCCCCAGCGACAGAGGAAGCCAAGCTTTCCACCTGCCCTGGACATCTAGGCTCCACTCCAGGCTACAAAGTTTCAATTATAGAAGACAAATATATCCCAGATATGAGGGCCTCTGCTTGGGTCATCGGGAGGCATGACTGGCCTGCAAACCACCACAGGCCCCTCTCCAGGCTGCCCCATGTCCCAAGGGAACCCGCACCCTGATTCAGGTCACCCTTCGGTGAAAACCGGCTGGCCATCACCCATGCTCCAGGTCTCTATCTTATCTAATAAAAGAGTAATATGCAGATTGACCATCACTCCAACACACAAGATCAAGATAGTTGTCCCCATGTAGTCAAAGATCCTGCCCCCATGTGGACACAAGATGGCCACCACAAGATGGCCAGCAGGGGAGGGTAATTGGGAGGGACCAGGCCTGCAAGGGAGGGCAGTTGAGGGCAATCAACTCTGCAGGGGAGGGCAATTAGGGGTGACCAGGCCAGCAGAGGGGGGAACTTGGGGGCAATCAGGCTGGCAGGGGAGCAGTTAGGCATTAATCAGGCTGGCAGGGCAGTGGTTAGGAGTTGATCAGGCTGGCAGGCAGAAGTGGTTAGGGGCAATCAGGAAAGCAGGCAAGTAAGCAATTGGGAGCCAGCAGTCTTGGATTGTGAGAGGGATGTTCGACTGCCCGAAATGAGCAGTGGGACATCGCTTGAGGGCTCCCAGATTGGAGAGGGTGCAGGTACATTTTTATAATAGCTGAGACATGGAACCAACCTAAGTGTCCATCAATTGATGAATGGATAAAGAAGAAATGATGAATATATACTGAATGGAATACTATTCAGCTATGTAAAAGAAGGAAATCCTGCCATTTGTAACAACATGGGTGGACCTGAGGGTATTATGCTAAGTGAGATAAGTCAGACAGAGATAAATGCCATTGTAAACTCACTTATATGTAGAATCTTAAAAAATTAAAAAAAAAAAACTCTCATAGATACAGAGAACAGACTGATGATTGCTGAGGAGGTAGAAGGCTGAAATAGGTGAAGGTATTAAAAAGAAGAAGAAGAAGAAGAAGAAGAAGAAGAAGAAGAAGAAGAAGAAGAAGAAGAAGAAGAAGAAGAAGTGGAGGAGGAAGAGGAAGAGGAAGAGGAAGAGGAGGAGGAGGGGGAGGGGGAGGAAGAGGAAGTTACATGACAGATTTATTTATTTATTTATTTATTTATTTGGCACTGCTCTGGGCTACATTGTGTCCCCAAATAATCCATATGTTGAAGTCTAATCCCAATGTGAGATTTTGGAAACAGGGCCATTGAAAGATGATTAGGCTTAGAGGAGGGCAGCCCCATGATGGGATTAGGGTCCTTATAAGTAGAGACACCAGAGGGCTTGCTTGCGCTATCTCTCTCCACTGTGAGAGGGTGCAGAGAGGAGGCTGCTCTTGCACATCAGGAAGAGAGCCCTTCCTAGAACCCAACCAGGGTGGATCCTGATCTCTCCCAGCCTCCAGAACTGTGAGAAAATACATTTCTGTTGTTTAAGCAACCCAGTATTTTTTTTTTTTTTACAGCAGCCCCACCAGACGAAGACAGGTGCACTCCCTTTGGTTCAACATTTGAGCATCTAACATAGGCAATGCACTAGCCAGCACTGCAGAAGATCTAAAACGAGCAGCATGTAGCTTTCCAGTGAGTACTTAGATTTTCCCAGAGGCACAAAGTAAGGGCCAGGAGGTTCTTTTGAAAAAGCCAAAGCAGATGGTTCCCCTTTGCTGCCTTGCTCTGGGCTCACAGGGCACCTGCCTCTAGGCCTCACCAACCTCCAGTTTACCCATGAAACAGCAAGAAAGGACAGCAGTGGGTTTGAATTGAGGACAGAGCTTTCTCTCCCCAGAAGACGTAAATCCACAGGAGAACCCATCCAACAAATCAAAGCCATCTAACATCCTATACTTCCGTCCACACTAAGATTTGAAAAGCGAAAAAGCTACCTGTGGCCAATAGGGAATGCAAGGCTTTATGTAAGACCCTCCTTCATAAATAGGGGCAACCTACCACAAGGAGTGCAGTGCAGCAAAATGGCCATCTCAGAATGTCTCTGATAAATTACAAAGTGGATCCAAGATGAGGGGGCTCCTGAGGCTTTTAGCTGTGTTTGCTATGTGCTGCTGTCAGCACCACCTCCACCCCCAGCAGGTACCTGGCTGCACAGATACAAAGCATTTAATGGACAGGTTGTGACTGAATATAAGGCAGCAGGGCAGATTTTCAAATTGCATAATCTACCTGTCCACATGATTGCCACCCCTTTCAAAATAGGCTTTGTGTTTCTACCATGCCTGCTATTCCTTAAAATATGTTTTATAATCTTTTTGGTTTGCCTTTGAAACCAATGTCCCATTTATAAAAGCATCTTCACTATTAACATATCTTCTTGCTCTCAGAATGAAATCTTTTTTTCCAATTGGCTAATGTCACTTGAAGTCAAGTGTACTGGCTGGGGACAGAGAGTGGGGAGGAGGTGAGCATGCTGAGTCACACTGGCTTTATAAAATGAGGTGTGACTCTAAAGTAATTATTGTGGGTTTTGAGGGTTATTGTGAGGTTTCCAGCCCCAACTTAGAAATGATAAAAGTAAGATTGTCTTCTCTTTGAGGGGTAAGCTTTAAAGCCAACATCTCAATAGAACTGGTCAAAGAAACATAAATTTACCCAGGAAGAGAAAGAATTACGGTCATGCACCACTTACCAATCAGGATACATCCTGAGAAATGTGTCCTTAGGTGATGTCATTGTTGTGCAACTATTGAGTGGGGCAATACACAAACCTGATGGTACAGCCTACTGCACACCCAGGCTGCATGGCATGGCCTAACCCTCCTAGGCCACAAGCCTGTGCAACATGTTACTGCACTAAGTACCTGAGATTCAATCAAGCACGAGACAGAAGGATGGCAATCAAGAGACAAGGTAAGCACGAGATGTCAGAGGCTGCTGCCAGCACAACATGGCATACTGTGTTACAGAAAACTGTTTTATGTATAGGCAGAAAGAGTACACTACCATAATGAAAGCATAATAAATGCATAAACCAGTATTACAGTTACTTATTTTCATTATCAAGTATTATGTAGTGTGGATCATACTTTTATCTAACTGGAAGAGCAGTAGTTTTCTTACATCAGCATCACATCAAACATGTGGATAATGTGTTGAGACCATTGCAAGGACTATGTTATCACTAGGAGATAGGAATTGTTCTGCTCCATTAACCTTATGGGTCATGAATGTGGTCCATCACTGACTGAAACTTGATGTGGAGCAGGAGTGTACTCTCAGGGCTGGAACAGATTATAACAGGAGTAAATACAAAGGTCATTCCATGGAGAGGGCAAAGTGAATGGAAGGAGTGTGGGGGGAAGGGTTGGAGAAGCAGTTTGGAAAAGGGAGGGGAGCTGTGGTTCTTTTATGTGGTAGCAATGGGGCTACTTTAGCTATCATATGTGTCACTCAAATTACCTATTTAGCTCTCCCTCAAATAGCACCCTTCCAAAGACCTTGCTGAGGTACTGCTGTCTTAGACATGGTGCTGACCATCCTACATGTTTGTGGGACCATCCTATATAATAAAACCCTCATATGCAAATCAATTGAACAGCAGAATGACCCTCACTATGATGCACATTGACAACCAGGGGGCAGATGCTCAATGCAGGAGCTGCCCCTTGGTGGTCAGTGTGCTCCCACAAAGGGAGCAGTGCTCAGCCAGAAGGTGGTAAGCACAGGGGCCGTGACAGGAGCCTCTCCCACTTTGCAGCAATATCAAGGACTCCTCAAGGGATGTCTGACTGTGAGGAGGGGGCCTAAGCCGGCAGGTGGACATCCCCCAAGGGGTCTTGGACTATGAGTGGGCATGGACTGGGCTGAGGGGAACCCTCCCTCCCCCTGCAGTGCATGAATATCATTCACCAGGCCTCTAGTATGAAATAAGAGGTTGTCATTTCTTTGCCAATGAAGACTCTCACCTAGGAGCTATCAGGGGCTGGGTCACAGCAAAGACAGGATTCCCAATAAAATCAAACTGGTGTCAGAGGTCACCCTTAATCCTCTGCCGTGCTGCCTCTGCTTCCTGGGTGAGTGGTCAAGGATCATGGTCTGGTCTTAGGGGTTGGGGGTCATTTCTGGACGAGGCTTACAACACTCAGTGAATCCCGTACACTGGTATCCAGACATCAGTACTGACAGTTTAGAGATTGGTACTGATTTATATGTAGCCA